AACAGTCTCTTATGCTTTGGCTCTCTCCCACTCTAACCTCTTTTTTTTTTTTTCCTTCCCCTCCCCCATGGGTTCCTGTTAAGTTTCTCAGGATCCACATAAGAGTGAAACCATATGGTATCTGTCTTTCTCTGTATGGCTTATTTCACTTAGCATCACACTCTCCAGTTCCATCCACGTTGCTACAAAAGGCCATATTTCATTTTTTCTCATTGCCACGTAGTATTCCATAGTGTATATAAACCACAATTTCTTTATCCATTCATCAGTTGATGGACATTTAGGCTCTTTCCATAATTTGGCTATTGTTGAGAGTGCTGCTATGAACATTGGGGTACAAGTGCCCCTATGCATCAGTACTCCTGTGTCCCTTGGATAAATTCCTAGCAGTGCTATTGCTGGGTCATAGGGTAGGTCTATTTTTAATTTTCTGAGGAACCTCCACACTGCTTTCCAGAGCGGCTGCACCAATTTGCATTCCCACCAACAGTGCAAGAGGGTTCCCATTTCTCCACATCCTCTCCAGCATCTATAGTCTCCTGATTTGTTCATTTTGGCCACTCTGACTGGCGTGAGGTGATACCTGAGTGTGGTTTTGATTTGTATTTCCCTGAGAAGGAGCGACGCTGAACATCTTTTCATGTGCCTGTTGGCCATCCGGATGTCTTCTTTAGAGAAGTGTCTATTCATGTTTTCTGCCCATTTCTTCACTGGGTTATTTGCTTTTCGGGTGTGGAGTTTGGTGAGCTCTTTATAGATTTTGGATACTAGCCCTTTGTCCGATAGGTCATTTGCAAATATCTTTTCCCATTCCGTTGGTTGCCTTTTAGTTTTGTTGGTTGTTTCCTTTGCTGTGCAGAAGCTTTTGATCTTCATAAGGTCCCAGTCATTCACTTTTGCTTTTAATTCCCTTGCCTTTGGGGATGTGTCGAGTAAGAGATTGCTACGGCTGAGGTCAGAGAGGTCTTTTCCTGCTTTCTCCTCTAGGGTTTTGATGGTTTCCTGTCTCACATTCAGGTCCTTGATCCATTTTGAGTTTATTTTTGTGAATGCTGTGAGAAAGTGGTCTAGTTTCAACCTTCTGCATGTTGCTGTCCAGTTCTCCCAGCACCATTTGTTAAAGAGACTGTCTTTTTTCCATTGGATGTTCTTTCCTGCTTTGTCAAAGATGAGTTGGCCATACGTTTGTGGGTCTAGTTCTGGGGTTTCTATTCTATTCCATTGGTCTATGTGTCTGTTTTTGTGCCAATACCATGCTGTCTTGATGATGACAGCTTTGTAGTAGAGGCTAAAGTCCGGGATTGTGATGCCTCCTGCTTTGGTCTTCTTCTTCAAAATTACTTTGGCTATTCGGGGCCTTTTGTGGTTCCATATGAATTTTAGGATTGCTTGTTCTAGTTTCGAGAAGAATGCTGGTGCAATTTTGATTGGGATTGCATTGAATGTGTAGATAGCTTTGGGTAGTATTGACATTTTGACAATATTTATTCTTCCAATCCATGAGCAGGGAATGTCTTTCCATTTCTTTAAATCTTCTTCAATTACCTTCATAACCTTTCTATAGTTTTCAGCATACAGATCCTTTACATCTTTGGTTAGATTTATTCCTAGGTATTTGATGCTTCTTGGTGCAATTGTGAATGGGATCAGTTTCCTTATTTGTCTTTCTGTTACTTCATTGTTAGTGTATAAGAATGCAACTGATTTCTGTACATTGATTTTGTATCCTGCAACTTTGCTGAATTCATGGATCAGTTCTAGCAGAGTTTTGGTGGAGTCTGTCGGATTTTCCATGTATAATATCATGTCATCTGCAAAAAGCGAAAGCTTGACTTCATCTTTGCCAATTTTGATGCCTTTGATTTCCTTTTGTTGTCTGATTGCTGATGCTAGAACTTCCAGCACTATGTTAAACAACAGCGGTGAGAGTGGGCATCCCTGTCGTGTTCCTGATCTCAGGGAAAAAGCTCTCAGTTTTTCCCCGTTGAGGATGATGTTAGCTGTGGGCTTTTCATAAATGGCTTTTATGATCTTTAAGTATGTTCCTTCTATCCCGACTTTCTCAAGGGTTTTTATTAAGAAAGGGTGCTGGATTTTGTCAAAGGCCTTTTCTGCATCGATTGACAGGATCATATGGTTTTTCTCTTTTTTTTTGTTAATGTGATGTATCACGTTGATTGATTTGCGAATGTTGAACCAGCCCTGCATCCCAGGAATGAATCCCACTTGATCATGGTGAACAATTCTTTTTATATGCCGTTGAATTCGATTTGCTAGTATCTTATTGAGAATTTTGGCATCCGTATTCATCAGGGATATTGGCCTGTAGTTCTCTTTTTTTACTGGGTCTCTGTCTGGTTTAGGAATCAAGGTAATACTGCCTTCATAGAATGAGTCTGGAAGTTTTCCTTCCCTTTCTATTTCTTGGAATAGCTTGAGAAGGATAGGTATTATCTCTGCTTTAAACGTCTGGTAGAACTCCCCTGGGAAGCCATCTGGTCCTGGACTCTTATTTGTTGGGAGATTTTTGATAACCGATTCAATTTCTTCGCTGGTGATGGGTCTGTTCAAGCTTTCTCTTTCCTCCTGATTGAGTTTTGGAAGAGTGTGGGTGTTCAGGAATTTGTCCATTTCTTCCAGGTTGTCCAATTTGTTGCCATATAATTTTTCATAGTATTCCCTGATAATTGTTTGTATCTCTGAGGGATTGGTTGTAATAATTCCATTTTCATTCATGATTTCATCTATTTGGGTCATCTCCCGTTTCTTTTTGAGAAGCCTGGCTAGAGGTTTGTCAATTTTGTTTATTTTTTCAAAAAACCAACTCTTGGTTTCGTTGATCTGCTGTACAGTTTTTTTAGATTCTATATTGTTTATTTCTGCTCTGATCTTTATTATTTCTCTTCTTCTGCTGGGTTTAGGCTGCCTTTGCTGTTCTGCTTCTATTTCCTTTAGGTGTGCTGTTAGATTTTGTATTTGGGATTTTTCTTGTTTCTTGAGATAGGCCTGGATTGCAATGTATTTTCCTCTCAGGACTGCCTTCGCTGCGTCCCAAAGCGTTTGGATTGTTGTATTTTCATTTTCGTTTGTTTCCATATATTTTTTAATTTCTTCTCTAATTGCCTGGTTGCCCCACTCATTCGTTAGTAGGGTGTTCTTTAACCTCCATGCTTTTGGAGGTTTTCCAGACTTTTTTCTGTGGTTGATTTCAAGCTTCATAGCATTGTGGTCTGAAAGTATGCATGGTATGATTTCAATTCTTGTAAACTTATGAAGGGCTGTTTTGTGACCCAGTATATGATCTATCTTGGAGAATGTTCCATGTGCACTCGAGAAGAAAGTATATTCTCTTGCTTTGGGATGCAGAGTTCTAAATAGATCTGTCAAGTCCATCTGATCCAATGTCTCATTCAGGGCCCTTGTTTCTTTATTGACCGTGTGTCTAGATGATCTATCCATTTCTGTAAGTGGGGTGTTAAAGTTCCCTGCAATGACCACATTCTTATCAATAAGGTTGCTTATGTTTATGAGTAATTATTTTATATATTTGGGCGCTCCGGTATTCGGCGCATAGACATTTATAATTGTTAGCTCTTCCTGATGGATAGACCCTGTCACTATTATATAATGTCCTTCTTCATCTCTTGTTACAGCCTTTAATTTAAAGTCTAGTTTGTCTGATAGAAGTATGGCTACTCCATCTTTCTTTTGGCTTCCAGTAGCATGATAAATAGTTGTCCATCCCCTCACTCTCAATCTAAAGGTGTCCTCAGGTCTAAAATGAGTCTCTTGTAGACAGCAAATAGATGGGTCTTGTTTTTTTATCCATTCTGATACCCTCTGTCTTTTGGTTGGCGCATTTAATCCATTTACATTCAGTGTTATTATAGAAAGATATGGGTTTAGAGTCATTGTGATGTCTGTATGTTTTATGCTTGTAGTGATGTCTCTGGTACTTTGTCTCACAGGGTCCCCCTTAGGATCTCTTGGAGGGCTGGTTTAGTGGTGACAAATTCCTTCAGTTTTTGTTTGTTTGGGAAGACCTTTATCTCTCCTTCTATTCTAAATGACAGGCTTGCTGGATAAAGGATTCTCGGCTGCATATTTTTTCTGTCTAGCACACTGAAAATCTCGTGCCAACTCTTTCTGGCCTGCCAAGTTTCAAAAGAGAGATCAGTCACGAGTCTTATAGGTCTCCCTTTATATGTGAGGGCACGTTTACCCCTTGCTGCTTTCAGAATTTTCTCTTTATCCTTGTATTTTGCCAGTTTCACTATGATATGTCGTGCAGAAGATCGATTCCAGTTACGTCTGAAGGGAGTTCTCTGTGCCTCTTGGATTTCAATGCTTTTTTCCTTCCCCACTTCAGGGAAGTTCTCAGCTATTATTTCTTCAAGTACCCCTTCAGCACCTTTCCCTCTCTCTTCCTCCTCTGGGATACCAATGATGCGTATATTATTTCTTTTTAGTGTATCACTTAGTTCTCTAATTTTCCCCTCATACTCCTGGATTTTTTTATCTCTCTTTTTCTCAGCTTCCTCTTTTTCCATAACTTTATCTTCTAGTTCACCTATTCTCTCCTCTGCCTCTTCAATCTGAGCTGTGGTGGTTTCCATTTTGTTATGCATTTCATTTAAAGCGTTTTTCAGCTCCTCGTGACTGTTCCTTAGTCCCTTGATCTCTGTAGCAAGAGATTCTCTGCTGTCAGCTATACTGTTTTCAAGCCCAGCGATTAATTTTATGACTATTATTCTAAATTCACTTTCTGTTATATTATTTAAATCCTTTTTGATCAGCTCATTAGCTGTTGTTATTTCCTGGAGATTCTTCTGAGGGGAATTCTTCCGCTTGGTCATTTTGGATAGTCCCTGGCGTGGTGAGGACCTGCAGGGCACTTCCCCTGTGCTGTGGTGTATAACTGGAGTTGGTGGGCGGAGCCGCACTTAGACCTGATGTCTGCCCCCAGCCCACCGCTGGGGCCACAGTCAGACTGGTACTTGCCTTCTCTTCCCCTCTCCTAGGTGCGGGATTCACTGTGGGGTGGGGTGGCCTGTCTGGGCTACTTGCACACTGCCAGGCTTGTGATGCTGGGGATCTGGCGTCTTAGCTGGGGTGGGTAGGCAAGGTGCACAGGGGCAGGAGTGGCAGGCTTAGCTTGCTTCTCCTTAGGTGATCCACTTCAGGAGGGGCCCTGTGGCAGCAGCAGGGAGTCAGATCCGGTGCCGGAGGTTTGGCTCCGCAGAAGCGCAGAGTTGGGTGTTTGCGGGGAGCGAGCAAGTTCCCTGGCAGGAACTGGTTCTCTTTGGGATTTTGGCTGGGGGATGGGCGGGGGAGATGGCGCTGGCAAGCGCCTTTGTTCCCCACCAAACTGAGCTCTGTCGTCCGGGGGCTCAGCAGCTTTCCTTCCCTTTGTCCTCCAGCCTTCCCGCTTTCTGAGCAGAGCTGTTAACTTATGACCTCCCAGCCCCTAAGTCGCGCTTGCTGTCGGAACACAGTTCGTCAGGCCCCTCCGCCTTTTGCAAGCCAGACTTGGGGGCTCTGCTTGGCCGGCGAGCCGCCCCTCCGCCCCGGCTCCCTCCCGCCAGTCCGTGGAGCGCGCACCGCCTCGCCGCCCTTCCTACCCTCTTCCGTGGGCCTCTCGTCTGCGCTTGGCTCCGGGAACTCAGTTCTGCTAATCCTCTGGAGGTTTTCTCGGTTATTTAGGCAGGTGTAGGTGGAATCTAAGTGATCAGCAGGACGCGCGGTGAGCCCAGCGTCCTCCTACGCCGCCATCTTCCCTCCCTCCAGTAACAATGTATTTGTAACCTGTGTGGAATTCAGGAAAATAGGTTGCAATGAATATCAAGGTCATGCACAGATGATGAAAGACGCTTTATGTGGCAAGTATAGATAGACATCGGAAAATTAAGGAAATAAAATTTATAGGATTTCTAAGAAACAAAGGTTGTCTTCTTATTTAACTATTCCTGGTAAAAGAAATGAAACAGAGTATTATTCTCCAGCCTTGAAAATATGACAGTAGAAAGAATAGCTTCCAGAAAGAGTTTTCCTTGAAGCGCCATAACTTATGACCATTCAGATACTTTCAAGTGTTTGCCAAATTAGCATACAACTTTGTAGGATTTCCTTTCTACCAGATATGTTGATATTTAAAACTATTTATTTAGACCTCTGTTTAGAGCAAGAAATACATGAAAGTGTATGAAAATAAAATATTAGGATATCCAAAAAGGTGAACTGAAAGGTTTGAGAGTGTTCAGATTGCCTTTATCAGTCTAAGAGTAAAGGGGGGGGGACAATAAAAAAATCACTAGATATGATCATTAGAAGTTAATAACAAAACGAAGCCACTGCTTTATCAAAATATTTGGAAAATGAACCCATTTGGAAAATGACTCTGGTGGCCACCAGAGGAGTCTGATATACTCATTGTCATCTAAATATTTAATAAAACACTTATGTATATGAAGTAATTTATGTGGGAAAACCGAGGCTCAATTGTTTAAAGAAATTATGCCAGATGCTAAATTAAGTAAGTGATAGAATTGGGAAATTCGGATCGAGCCAATGTCTTTGATTGGGCTGTGGTAGTGATAGGAAGACCAGGGATAGAACCAATAGCATTGGTGGACACCGTGGCACCTGACAGATAGCATCTTGGAAGCTTCCATTATGTTCCAGGGATCCTTCTAGAATTCTTCTTCTTACATGTTTCAACTCATCTGTTTATGACAACACATGGAGTTTGAGCCAAACAAAGTAAGTCTTATTCTTATTCTGTTTTACTCAAGAGACATGGGATATCAAGAAACTAGCCCCAGAATACAAACCCCGGCTCCCACCATACTGAAGCCCCAACGTTGACCAGTGAAGGCAAAGTGCATCAATCTTCTTAGGCTAGGGCATTCTTCAGTAGCAAACAGCTCAGAAAAATTCAATGGCTTTAAAATAACAAAGGTTTGTTTTTTACCTCACACTCTGTGTATTGTGAGACGCTTATACATGATTTCTTTGTTGTTCGTCTTTTCCATCTTTTCTTAAATTTTATTTTTAGACAGCCCCTATCTGCCTCCCTATCATTGTAAGTCTTGCAGAAGAGAAAAATATATAAGGAGTAATAGTTAAACTTTGATAGCTTCGGAGACATTTCTTCAGAAGTACTTCATTTCACTTCCTGTCATATTTCATCTGCTAAAGTAAGTCATATATCTAAGTTTGTCAGTGGATGTGAGGTATAATATTTCCATACAGAGGGGCTCTGGAATAAAAATATGTAGTGATGGGTAGTGAATAGTGTGAACTCTGTTCCACTCTACCACATAGGGCTACCAGAGATGTATTTTTCATCGAATTAATTTCAGTTTCTCATGGAAGGTGACTGGCGGATAGTTCGACTTAGTTGCACACCAAAGTGTTCATGTGATCATCCTAAAGGTTGATTTTTGGTTTGTCAGTGTTAAACAGGTAACCATTCAAGTGAATAAAAACTATGAAATTGAGAGAGCCTCCAATTTGTAGGGATAGTATGTGTGTAACCTATCTACAGACTTAAGAGATACGTCTCTAGAATGAGCCAGACAAAATGCCATGCCAGATCAATATGGGAGAACATTTTTTTTAATGTACCAAATCACACAGTACAGAAGTCTTAGGCTGGCCGGGTATGGTCTCAGGACGTGTGCTGGTGGAGTCTTTTTTCAACAAAGAATTTGCTCTTCAGCTTCAACATTGACAACGTTGACAGCCTTGGGACGTACCTCAGTTTTTCAGCCAACCACACTTCACCTGAGCAGCCCAAGTCCAGACTAAGTGTGGTGGAGGTATGGGTTGGCCATTTTTATTCAATACAGAAATTCTACAATGGGTAATCTTTGCTCTGCAGTTTCTCAAAGGGTTGTCTCATATGCTGTCAGGTCTGGATCACAGTCTGAGATTCCCTTGTACAATCATCTTCCTTCTCCTTCCCTCTCACAGGTTTCTGATCTCCATTGCGTTCTGGTGCCTTGATATGGCCTGTTCTGCTTCCTGCTCCTTTTAGCTTTCACGGGTGTTCCTTCTGTTGTTTTTTTTTTTTTTTTAATTTTTAACGTTTATTTATTACTGAGAGACAGAGAGAGACAGAGCATGAGCAGGGGAGGGGCAGAGAGAGAGGGAGGCACGGAATCTGAAGCAGACTCCAGGCTCCGAGCTGTCAGCACACAGCCCGGTGCGGGGCTCAAGCTCGCAAACCGTAAGATCATGACCTGAGCCGAAGTCAGACACTTAACCAACTGAGCCACCCAGGCACCCCTTACAAGGTTTTACTTCTAACTTCTTTTTAACATGTGCTTCCTAGAGGACCAAGGTGACACATCAAGTGTGAGAACCTCTGGGGAAGGGTAAGTAAAGTAATAAGATAAGAAAAAAATAAAAATTGGAGATACTTGAAGTAAACATTGAGGCTGTTTAGTTTATCAGTGTATGAAGATTGCAGTATAAGATGAGCATCATGTCTTGATCTGGTTGTTCTGAAAGTGGCTGCAATGTGAATTGGGTGAGAGATGCTCTAAAATCTAATGGGTACATTAGATGAAATTTAGAAAATAGTTGGAGGAGAGGACAAGAAAGATCTTATATGTAACATGAAGAGTTTGGACCATGTGTTTTAGAAGACTAGAACCTATAAAATCATCAGAAAGAGGAGATGAAGAGTAAGAGAGGCGTTTATAGGAAACCAGATAATAAAGTCCAGGTGGCCAGACTTATTCCAGTGGCAGGGAATGGAGAGAATGTGTAGTTTTTATGAGATGTTTATAAGGCAGAATTGAAAAACAGAGATTTAACGTAGTGGGAGAGGTCATAGAGCAAAGGAAAAAGGACAGGATGGTTTCTTGATAACATTCTTCACCTGCTAAATGAAAGTATTTTATTAACTCTATAAAAAGAATCAATGTGTAAGGAAGAAATGTGTTGGGTTGAGCACTGGGTGTTATACACAGGGGATGAATCACCAGAATCTACTCCTGAAAACATTATTGTAATATATGCTAATTAATTTGGATGTAAATTTTTAAAAAAAGAATACAAGAAAAAGAGTCAAAGTAAATATCTTTATGAAAAATAAAAATGTTAAATGTTAGTTTGACAACCATTCTGTTGCTTTGGGAAGTTAGGTCTTTTTTTTTTTAAGTCTGGGGGAGTGGGGCGCCTGGGTGGCGCAGTCGGTTAAGCGTCCGACTTCAGCCAGGTCACGATCTCACTGTCTGTGAGTTCGAGCCCCGCGTCGGGCTCTGGGCTGATGCCTCAGAGCCCAGAGCCTGTTTCCGATTCTGTGTCTCCCTCTCTCTCTGCCCCTCCCCCGTTCATGCTCTGTCTCTCTCTGTCCCAAAAATAAATAAACGTTGAAAAAAAAAATTAAGTCTGGGGGAGTGATATGTATTTGTATAGCTTCTGCAATAGACATTATCAACATGAATAATGGAATTAATGTTATAAAAACTAAGGATGAATCTGTATAATGTTAATTGCTGTAAAGCAAGCTAGAATGAATTCTAGCACTGTCAGTAACATTGCATTTTTGTTGGAAGACGCTTACATTAGCTCTCAATGGGATTCAAGCAGCCTCCAAAGTCTGGAGATTGGGCTGGCTCCAAATTTTCTGGCTGAACATTGCAGCTACATAAAGAAGGCTGATTTCCAATATCGTCTTAAAGCATGTGTACATTTACACACATACACACTCTAAATATTGAACGTTATTGGAATTATTCCGCATAACAGTAATAGGGTTGACATCTCCTTACCTTTTGGCCCAGAGAACAGTAGGAGAAGGGAACCTTAATACTTGAATCATGGAGGAGGTTATAAACCTAGTGCTTGGCTAGCATGTTTCTTAGGTTAAAGCCACTTGACTTAACATTAGGCAATGAACTGCTTTTCTTTACTGTTGTCAAGAATAAGTTTAAAAAGAGGGCATAATGATGAATATCATACAAATATGAAATGAACCCGTCAGTGATTTAATTCAATTCATGAGTTCATAAGGAAATCAGTAAGAGGTTACAAATTAGTTCAAACAAAATTTAAAAATTCACACATTTGTATTCAGTGACAGAATGCTTAAATAGATTTGCAAATGTATGCAAAAAATGGTCTATCCACAAAGCAATAATCAATTGCATTCTACTGGACACAAATGCTTAGCATTTCTGTGGACAAAACTCATTTGTATTATTATCAGTTTTTTACAATTTACAGAGTTGTAAAATAGCTCAAAGATACAGAAAGCACAAATAACCTGGCTGTGACACAAAACACCAATTAATCTTTTTTTTTTTTTAAATCCTCTTGTCCGTTTTAAAGACCTCCTTCCACTTCAAATCTGCAAGTGGCAGAAATAACGAAAAGCTGGTGGAGTCAGATCTCCAAGGTGATAGGTAATAAGTTACATGAGTGAAAACTCTCACTTTCAGGTCTAAACATAATAGCACAAAATAGGTAGAAAACATTTTTTTCCTGCATATTCTTTTTGTATCCACATCAGTAACAAACTAAGTCTACTGATTTTAAATGCTACATCTTTGTCCCTTCTTGTTTCTTCCTGTGAAAGCAATATTAAATTAATTTATGGCCAATAGCAAGTCAATAAATAAATCACAATAAAAATCTAATAGAGAAAGCTGGGAGGAGTGGACAGTTGAAAATGATTAATACCTTAAGGGAATAAGAAAGAATAATAGACGGAAGATTATCTGGGCAGTTACAGTGTTATAGAGTTAAAATGGAAAATTTAATTTTAGGTTGTGAATGCACTGGTATAGCATCACATCATGAAATATGAAGAAACCATTCACTTCAGAGAATTTGAGCATGAAAATCAAATAGTTGAATGAAAGTGAATGTGATATAAAAGGAAGTGGAGATTACAGGGCTAGAGGGATAGTCTCTGAGATAAATACGTAATTGAAAAAATCTTTAAAAGAGTCCCAGTGGAGTTTATATTGAAGATGGATGAAAAAGTAGGAGAGAGAGCAAAAAAGTGGGATAACAGTGTCTGAACTACTCAATTTTCCGACTGTCAGTGAGGTTTCATACACAATCAATGTACTTTCTGCCTTCACAAAACCTTCACCAATAATTTGATGAGAATGAGTTAGAAAATTCATTTCTGTAGGACCAAATTCATTAAGTGCCAAATTTAAAAATGAAAGGCTTGGAAAAACCTTTCTTCAACATAGCTGCATATAATTTAGCACTTTCCAGATTTCATATATTGGTTATGGAATATGGGGCTAAATGATTTTCATTTCTATGAAAAATGAGCATTTATATCAGTTTCAGAAAAACATATTTTAAGCGAGGTTTCTTTAATGGACCCGTGCTATAACTTTGTTAAATTAACATTTGTTAAGTAGATCCCAGGAGTGTCTTCTGGTGAGCCACCCTTTTCCAAAGACTGTAATAAGATGAATAAAGAAATTGATTTCATTCCAACACTATCGCCAGCAACCTGAGACAAAGGAAAGATCAAGTCCTGATAATCAGCTCTTATGAGACAAAGCCTGGGTTGCAGGCCGGATATTAGGGCATCTTAGTTTACTAACTGGCTTTACCCAAAATAAAGTAAACTTTCTTCTATCTTTACAAGGTATCTTTTTACAACTTGGAGTAGGTTACTCTTTGAAGTTAAGTTTCTACCCTCTTACAGACTGGCAAATAGAGGCTCTATCTTCCTTGATGATTGTATCTCAAAAGCATGACCCCCAGGTCCTTTGAAAAGGACAGTCCTGGGTTGTAAAAGTAGCCAAGAGGCTTCTAGAGGCTTCATACCTCAAAGAGAGAAGAATTGATAAGTTTAAGTTTTGTGAGAAAAATAACACAAACACATGTATTTGTTACATCTTTTTTTTCAGCATATGGATCTCCTTTTAATCAACTATTCAAATGTACAGTTTGTACAGTTACTTATTTTAATTTCCATCATCAGAAAAAGCAACTTGGACGATTGTCTTTAAAAAGGATTCAGTTACTCTTTGTGGATATATTTATCGATCACTTTCAATGAGCCAGCCACTGTACTGGGCTAACCAGAAGGACAAAATCCTGGCACACAGAAAGGTTATATCCTCAATGGGCAAATAGATATAAACAAACATATAGCCGGTATTGGAATATTATGATGGGAAAAAAAGGAGGGAAAACAAGGAGCACGTGGAGTGCATGATGCAGTGTCATGAATTTGAACTTGACCACCACAAAGGTGATATTTGAGTAAAGTTTAAAAAACGTTCATCTGTAGGAGCGCCTGGGTGGCTCAGTGGTGAAGCGTCCAACTCTTGGTCTCAGCTCAGGTCATGATCTTATGGTTCCTGAGTTCAACCCCCGAGTCAGGCTCAGTGCTGATGTGTGGAAACTGCTTGGGATTTTCTCTCTCCCTCTGTATCTCCCCCTCCCCTGTTCTCTCTCTCTCTCTTGCAAAATAAGTTTTTACGAAATTATGAAAAATGTTCATGTGTGCAAATCTTTAGGAAAGAAAAATTGAAGGAAAATAAAGGAAGTCCAAAGGTACCAAGGCAGGGGCATGCTGGTATGATTGAAGGACAGTGAGGCAACTAGGGAGGCTGGAAGACAGGAGTCTCTGTACAAGAGTTAAAGTCATCAGGTAAGAGGTGTGGGTCAGGGTGTGCCCAGGGAAGAGTGCTAGAGGGGCGGACAGATTCTAAAGGGCTTTCTAGGCTTTTGTAAGGACTTTGGGACCTCAAAATTGAAGATATTATAGGTATTGAATAGAGTGATGACTTGGTCTTACTTATTTAAAATAATTGTTCAGGATACAGTACTGAGATCACATTCCAGAGAATCAAGAATTGAGATGGGTTGACCCATTAATTTTTTTAATGTTTATTTATTTTTGAGAGAGAAAGACAGAACAGGAGAGGGGGAGGGACAAAGAGAGAGAGGAAGACACAGAATCTGAAGCAGTCTCCAGGCTCTGAGGTCTCAGCACAGAGCCCAACGTGAGACTCGAACTCACGAGCCTTGAGATCACGACCTGAACCAAAGTTGTACACTCAACTGACTGAGCCACCCACGCTTAGCTGACCCATTAGAAGGCTATGGAAGTAACCCAAGGGGTCGGCGGTTG